CTAGCCTCCCTCATCGCCACAAGGTAGGATCTAAGATGTATCCTTACCTGTGCTCGATCGGATTCGGTTCGGCTGGCCCTCCAACTGCTCTCTAGGCGTCTTTTCCGACGTTTCATCTCTCTCAGCCCCTCGGTAAACCAAGGAGATGGTCGAGATCCACGTCGGGTCAGAGGCCGCAAAGGCACGACTCGGTCCAAAGATGTCAAATGAGAAAAACTGAGGTAAACTGAAGTTTTGGAGTATCTACCACAGGGGGTCTTCAAACTTGGCCCTTAAATGACTTGTGGACTTCAACTCCCAGAATTCCTCAGCCAGCGTGCCTGGCTGAGGAATTCTGGGAGTTGAAGTCCACAAGTCATCAAAGGGCCAAGTTTGAAGACCTTTGGTCTATCTATCTATCTATCTATCTATCTATCTATCTATCTATCTATCTATCTATCTATCTATCTATCTATCATCTTTCACAAGGGTCTTTAAACTTGGCCCTTTTATGACTTGTGGACTTCAACTCCCAGAATTCCTCAGCCAGGCATGCTAGCTGAAGGAATTCTGGGAATTGAAGCTCACAAGTCATAAAAGGGCCAAGTTTGAAGACCCCTGATCTACCGCATGCCTGGCTGTAAGAGTTATACAGGTAGTCCTCGACTTTCAACTACAATTGACCCCCAAGCTTCTATTGCTAAGCAGGACAGTTGTTATATTTTGCCCCCATTTTACAACCTTTCTTGTCACAGTCATTAAGTGAATCCCTGCAGTTATTAAGTTAGTAACACCGTTGTGAAGTGAATCTGGCTTCCCCCGTTGACTTTGCTTGTCCAAAGGTCCCAAAAGGGGAACACGTGACGCCCCCGGGACACTGCAACCGTCGTAAATATGAATAAGTTGCCAAGCATCTGAATTTTGATCACGTGACCGTGGAAATGCTGCAATGGTTACATGCAATGTTTGTAAGTGTAAAAAAAACCGGTTGTAAGCCACTTTTTTCAATGCCGCTGTAACTCCGAACGGTCACTAAATGAACTGTTGTAAATCAAGGACTGCCTCTCCCTCCATAGGATGCCCTCACACACAGGTTAGAAGAGGAAACAGCGGGAGTAACATTGGTAGCGAGTTAAAAAGAAAAAAGAAATCAAAATGGCAGCTTCAACCATGCAATCAAAGCCACGCCCCTTTTTTGCACATAAGGCGGGGCCGGATCCTCGGTTTCCCAACTGCAGCCACCATCTTGATTTTTTTTTTTGACCTACCACCCCACAGACACCCCTGTAAACGTAGCTGCTTCTCCTTAACGGGGAGGTATACGCGTTGAGTAATTTGCACTTTGAAATAATGCTCCCCAACAACGCCTGTTTTCATTTGTCCACAATCTACAGGGGGAGAAACTCTCAACTTCTCCGATTTACCTGCAACGGGCAACGTAAAAGAAAATGCACCTTCTGGGACCCTGGTGCATGATTTTGGAGTCACCTTAACGCCACATCTGTTGCCAAACATTTCAATACCGCCTGAGTATCCTTTAATCGTCAATTCAAATCCACTCACACAAGCTTTCCGGATCAACCCCGTATCTCCACTCCGCTATCAGGTACATGTTTCCTTAGCAGCAGAAGCCACGGTTGGTAACTGGAATGTGGCTTTTCTCGTGGCCAACGGGCTCACCACGAGAGGGTCCAGGCATCCCCGCGCCGGACGGAGTGAGAACAAAGACATAGAGTCAAATTCTCCTCGGGGTGAGTGAGCCCCGAGCTAGCTCGAGACAAACCTTTTATTGAGGTTTGTTAGGGGTGGGTTTCAAAAATATCAGAAGGCAAGCATATGATCCTGATTTAACCATACATATTTTGACACATTGGGTCGGATATACATATATGGCAAGTGTGTTTACAAGCATAGCTAAGTCTATATGTGCAAAGCAGTTTTTTCTATCATGTCCGGATTTATCCGGACAGGCTCTGTGGTTGGCGTTTCTGAGCACAGTTCTATAGAGCTTTTCCTGTTACAGGATGTTCAGATATGTGGTTTGGAACAGGATATAACACATTTACTTAGCTTTTATTGCTAACTAGCTTTGTGCATTTTAACTCATAGCCTGACATGGTGGTTTCTGTCAGAGGATGTGGTTGTCCTACTTATTGTCCTAGGCCTCTAATACGCAAGCTGGCCACTGGCCTAGTCTTACTATAGAAGCCTGAACCATAAAAATCCCAACACTGGAAGCAGAGGCAGGTCGTCCTCAACTTACGACCTCAGTTGAGCCCAAAATTTATTTTGCTAAAGCGAGACAGTTGTTAACTGTTATTATTATTATTGTTGTTGTTGTTGTTATTATTATTATTATTATTATTATTATTATTATTATTATTATTATTATTATTATTATTATTATTATTATTATTCATTAGACGTGAACCTCAGTCAACTGAACATTCAAATTAACTGGCGCTAATGGTTGACACAGGTTGTTGCCAGCATCCTAGGTATCAACCAGGTACCTCCTTAAAATATAAGATGTTCCGAGTAGCGCGGTTTTTTTGTAGCATTGCTGGAGTTATTGAAGGAAGCTGCAGTTTCTTGATGTATTTTGCAAAGTTTTTGGACATAGTTCCCAGTGCCCCGATGACAGTGGGTACCACTGTTACATGTTTCATCCATAATCGCGCAGTTTCGATGGCCAGGTCGCGATATTTTGTAATTTTTTTCAGTTCTTTTTCTTCGACTCTGGCATCTCCTGGTACAGCGATATCAATCAGCTGTACGCTTCGGTTCTCTACAACTGCGATATCTGGCGTGTTGTGTTCCAAACGGCGATCTGTCTGTATTCAAAAGTCCCACAAGATCTTCAATTATTATTATTATGATGATGATGATGATCATCATCATCATCATCATCGCACAGTCAGCCATAGGTTCAGACTGGATTTGGCATTTTGTCTACCTATCGAGTCCTTCCCAAGGACCTGGGAGAGGCAGATGTGGATGTTTGATGGTATTACAGATATCGTCGCAGGATGGAAGCAGTTCCTAGTAAGGCTGCCTTTTGCAATTGACTAATGGCGAATTTGTCAATGCCAATGACGGTGTTCAAGTGATGCTCCAGTTGTTTTGGGATTCCACCCAAGGCGCCTGTTACTATTGGTACTACCCTTGCTTGCTTTTGCCACAGTCTTCCTATTTCTATTTGTAGGTCTTTGTGTTTTGTGATCTTCTCCAGTTCTTTCTCGTCTATTCTGCTGTCTCCAGGCACTGCCACGTCCACTATCCAGACTTTTTTGTCTTTCTAATCGACAATTGTTAAGTCCGGGGTGTGATGTTGCAGGTGCTTGTCTGATTGAATAATATTAATTATTAATATTCATTATTATTATTATTATTATTATTATTATTATTATTATTATCATCATCATCATCATCATTATCATCATCGTTATTATTATTATTATTATCATCATCATCATCATCATTATCATCGTTATTATTGTTGTTGTTATTGTTGTTGTTGTTGTTATTATTATTATTATTATTATTATTATTATTATTATTATTATTATTTCCTGCATGTCTTCAGCATTTCAGGATAATCATAAGCTTTGTAGGCATTTAGGAAGCAGAGACTAAGCTGCTGTCAAAAGTGCCCTAAATTTAAATCCACGAATTTTAATGCTACATAAACCTGATTCCCCCCCGTCTCATAATTTATCTTTGGTTTATCATTTCAGGTGGTTACCACAGGAGACCCCGTTATAGATTATGAAACGATGCCCCATGCCTTTGACCTGCAGATCCTTGTTGCTGATTCTGCAGGAGCCATGGAGCTACAGGTTCTGACCATCCAAGTGATCGATGTGAATGAACCACCGGTGTTTCAAGGCAACTTGGCAAATCAAAGTAAGGCAGCGGGTTTGGTTTAAAAGCAGATTTTGCCATACATGTAGTCCTCATCTTACAACGGTTTTGTTTAATGACCGTTCCAAGTTACAAAGACAGGGAAAAAAGCGACTTGGGGCTGTTTTTTCATTCTTACGGCCGTTGTAGCATCCCCCTGGTCACATGATCAAAATTCAGACGCTTGGCAACTGACTGGTATTTATGACGGTTGCGGTGTTCCAGGGTCATGTGATTCCCCCTTGTGTGACCTTCTGACCAGCAAAGACAAATGGGGAAGCCAGGTTTATTTAACAGCCATGTTACTAACTTAACAACTGCAGTGATTCACTTAACCACTCTGGCAAGAAAGGTCGTAAAATGAAGCAAAACTCACTGAACGAATGTCTCGCTTAGCGACAGAAATGTCGGGCTCCATTGTGGTCGTAAGGCGAGGGCTATCTATACTGCTGTCAGCTGGTTTCTGTTCTTTCATAACCAATTATATATAAAGAAGCACTGCATTCAAAATTTACCGCGACAGGGAGTTAAGAGTGGGGTAAAAGTGACGTATCACTATTGAAGAACAGAGAAACCCGCTCACGAAACCCAGAATCCGAGTTGGGTAATGGAAAAAGAAGCTACTTCCAGACAAAAGCTGGCGCTTCAGCTTCCTAGAACAGTTTTCATTCCTTCAAATTAATGTATACCACTTTTATCTGTCTAGCCGTCATCATCTACATCTTGGAAACGGCAGAACCAGGAGATATTTATCAAGTTTACGCAGGGGATCCTGAAACAACATCCCCTAGGAGAGTTGAGGTGAGTAGAATTCGACTCACGTTAACATCCATGACAATCGCTCTTTGCCAAATTCAGTCCTCAGAAACATTCCTTTAACAAAAGGCTTAGGTACTGCATGTTATATTGCTCTTGTGCAACTAAGCCTTTGAAACCAATTTGTCAAAGTGATGTGAAATGGAAGAGCGAGCAACAGAGAGAGAGAGAGAGAGAGAGAGAGAGAGAGAGAGAGAGAGAGAGAGAGAGAGAGAGAGAGAGAGAGAGCGTTATTGGGCCAAAGTCACCCATCTGGCTTTCATATCTAAGGAAAAACTAGAACTTATAGATTCCTGATTTCTAGCCCAACACCTTACGTACTACACCAAACTGGCTCTAGGCTTTAACTGAAAGAATTTAATTGGTTTTGCTTGTCAGGTGCAAGGATCAGGACCATATGTTAAGTTGCCATTCAAAAAGGTTGTACTGTCCAGGCCTATACACAAGAACCTAGTCAGCGAAAATTCAGTACTAAATTGGCACCAGATATGGGTCAATGGAATTCAAGAAGGCTGTTTGTGGCAACGTAACATCTCTAACCTGATGACACGTTTAACTCCACCCTCCAACTCTGCCTGCTGTATTTAATTTGGAGGTTTTATATATAGATGTCCTTTTAGGATGACTCAGGACAACCTAGAGCAGTGTTTCTCAACCTTGACCATTTTAAGGCATGTGGACTTCAACTCCCAGAATTCCACAGCCAGCATTGCTGGCTGTGGAATTCTGGGAGTTGAAGTCCACATGCCTTAAAATGGTCAAGGTTGAGAAACACTGACCTAGAGGTTAGACAGTAAACAATCAATAACAACCATAAGCTAAGAAAATTCGTTTCCCCCAAATCCTGCCAGGAATCTAATAGTAGCACTACCCCAACAGGCAGGAACCCTTCCCTTCCCTTCCCCTCACTTCTCTTCCTTTGCTTTCCTCCTTCCTTCCTTCCTTTCTTCCTTCCCTTCTCAACAAGCAGGTAACTGGCTGCTGCTGGGTGAAGGAGGAAGCAAGGGATTGCGAGAGTGGCTGGGAAACTGTCACGGAACATTGAAAATGACCATGTGACCACAGCAGCAGCTCAGCAGCAGTCAAGCAGCCACAACTTCCCCCAAATTCATTCCCTTCAGAGTTATGGGTCGCAGATTTTGAACACATTCTATAAATTAGCCCATTTGAAGTACCTTGATTCAAAAATTGTTGCCCTGTGATGCAGTGTTTCGCCCAGTTAAAGGTCACGGCACCAAGACTTTTAGCAGCGTCTGTTACAAATGATCCCATTGCATCTGATTATTTCTTCCAGTTTTCTCTGAGTCCAGATTCCACATTCTTTTCCATTTCTCCAACTGGGACCATTTCTACTTTGAAGAAATTTGATTTTGAGAAAGATCTACCGAGGTAAGATCATATTCACGATCCAGAAA